AGAACAAAGAAGGAGCCAGGCGGTGGTGGCGCACGCCTTTAATCCCAGCACTCGGGAGACAGAGGCAGGCAGATCTCTGAGTTAGAGGCCAGCCTGGTCTACAGAGCGAGATCCAGGAAAGGCACCAAAACTACACAGAGAAACCCTGTCTCGAAAAGGAAAAAAAAAGGTGGTGGTGGTGGGGGGGGTGCTGGAGAGATGGCTCTGTGGTTAAGAGCACTGGCTGCTCTTGCAAAGAACCGGAGTTCATTTCCCAGCACCCACATGGTGGCTCAGAACCGTCTGTAACTCCAGTTCCAGGGGATCTGACGCCCTCTTCTGGCCTCTGCTTGCACTTCAAGTACATGGTGCACACAATACACACGCAAACACTGACACAGACAATATTTTTAAAAAATTTTAAAAAGAGAGGGCTGGGCAGTAGAGGCCCATGCCTTTAATCCCAGCACAGCCAAGGCTACACAGAGAAACCCTGTCTCGAAAAAAATGAGAGAGAGAGAGAGAGAGAGAGAGAGAGAGAGAGGAGAGAAGGGAACTGAAAGGACAAGGAGGAGGAGGAGGGGGAGGGGGAGGGGAGGAGGAGGAGGAGGGGAAGGGGAGGGGAGGAGGGGGGAGGGGGAGGGGAGGAGGAGGAGGAGGGGGAGGGGAGGAGGAGGGGAGGAGGAGGAGGGGGAGGGGAGGGAGGAGGGGGGAGGAGGAGGAGGGGGAGGAGGAGGAGGAGGGGGGAGGGGGAGGAGGAGGGGAAGGGGGAGGGGAGGAGGAGGAGGGGGAGGGGAGGAGGAGGAGGGGGAGGGGGAGGGGAGGAGGAGGAGGAGGGGAAGGGGAGGGGAGGAGGAGGAGGGGGAGGGGAGGAGGAGGAGGGGGAGGGGAGGGGAGGAGGAGGAGGGGGAGGGGAGGAGGAGGAGGGGGGAGGGGAGGAGGGGGAGGGGAGGAGGGGGAGGGGAGGGGGGGAGGAGGAGGAGGAGGGGGGAGGGAGGAGGAGGAGGGGGAGGGGAGGAGGAGGAGGGGGGGGGGAGGAGGAGGAGGGGGAGGGGAGGAGGAGGAGGGGAGGGGAGGAGGAGGAGGGGGAGGGGAGAAGGAGGAGGAGGGGGAGGGGAGGAGGAGGAGGAGGTAATTACCCTGACAACGGGCCTGCGAGTTTTGTTGGCCCTCAGTCCCTAAGGTCTTAGGGAGAGTCCCTCAGCCCGTTTTGCAAAGGAGGTTGATAAAATGACCCACCAATCCCAGAGGCATCTGGTTAAGAGTAAAGCCCTGTTACTGTTTCTGGTTTTGTTTTCCTTTGTTTTGAGACAGGGTTTCTCTGTGTAGCTTTGGCTGTCCTGTGTAGACCAGGCTGGCCTCAAAGAACTCAGAGATCCCCCTGCCTCTGCTTCCAGGGCGCTGGAATTAAAGGTGTGACACCCCCCCTCATGAGACTGGGCCTTGCTATGTAGCTCAAGCTAGCCTATCTGACTTGATTTTCAATAATGGGACACAGTGACATGTATCTGCTATCCCAGCATCTGGGAGGCAGACACAGGGGGATCAAGAGTTCAAGATCACCCTCTGCTACACAGTAAGTTCCAGAGCAGCTGGCCCGGACTACATAATACCCTGTCTCAAGCCTTTCTCCTCATAGAAAAAGAGCTGCTGTTCAGACCTTCATTTGAGATGGTCTAACGGGCCTTTGGTGTTAGATAGCAGGGGCTGGACTCAGTGGGAAGAGCTGACTGGGCAGGTCTGGCCAGGGAGTCTGGAGTGGAGCCTGCTCAGGAGGTGGTGTGGGCTATAATTAAGGTGAGGACAATGGGAATCCAAGTTGGGGTGGAAGGGGTGCCCCATTTTCCCCCACCCCACCGACACCCTGCACAAGAGCACAGTGAATGCCAACCCAACTCAGGTATCTTTATTACCAGGTGGGTGTGGGGGATCCCCAGTACCCAACTGTGCCAGCCTAGCTCTGGGAAGAGCGCACTCACTCCTGAGGGAGACCAGCTCCCTGCTGAGGGGCTCAAAAGTTGGTGGAGGTTGTGGGGACCTTGGGCTCCACAGTCTTACTGGAGAGAAAGCCACGTCTATAGCCCGAGTTCTCCCCAAGGCCCCTGAACCGGCACTTGAGATGCTGCCCGGCCTGGAACAGGGAGGCTACATCGAGCAGTGCGTCCTCAATGTGCTGGCCCAGCCGGTGTGAGTCCTGCGGAGAAGCAGACAAGGAACTGGGGGACTGGGAGATCTGAGGAGGAGGCTAAAATGTGGACCACGGAGTCCTGGGGGAGAAGGTTGGGGCCTAGACCCCTGTATCTGATGGAGGAGGCTAGACCAGGGACCCCGGGGTCTGAACGGCTCCATCCCAGATTTTGGGGGGTGAGGAAGGCACTCAAGTTCATCTCACTGTTTTTGTGCTTGATTTCTTGCTGGAGATGTGGAAGGTGATCATGTTTTCCCCCATGAAGATGTAGGAGATGCCATAGCCATGGTCGTTGGCCTGGAGTGGGGAGAGTGAGGCAAGCCTGTAGCCCAGCCCTTCCTCCACACCTACAGGGCACAAATCCCCCACCCCCCCTCCCTGGCTGCCCAGCGCCTGGGCCACAGTCCACTCACAGGCCCAAATCCACCTCCAGAGGAAACGTAATCTGGATAATTGTGGACGTCAAACAGGTGCATCTGCTGTACAGGGATCTGGCTGGTGGACAGCGGCCACTGCTGTGACTGGACCTGAGGGTAACCGGTGATCACATGAGCAGAGAAGCCTCCCTCCGCTCCACTGCAAGCCAGACCTCCTCTGACGCCCCCCCTTCCTCCGTAACCATGCCCCATCTCCCTGACCCCACCTTCCCTCCTCTTTGCCTCCTTTTCTACTGTTCCTCCTCCTCCTCCCTTCCTTTATGGTGCTAGGGACTGACCCCAGGACCTCTAGCTTGCTAGGTAGGGACTCTACCGCTGAGCCATGCCCCAGCACCTCAGTGGGGGATTCTGGACTGGTGCTCTGACCCCCACTCCACCCTCCGCCCCTCCGGCAAGGCTGCCTCTATCCACTCTTCCACACATTCGTCTTCCACATCACCCTCCTTGCTCTTAGCTCCTCCCTCCTCCCACCATTTCCACTTCTCCTTCCTCCTGACCTGGGTCAGGAAGGGCGACTGCACATGGAGCAGTCGAGACGTGATGTAGAGTGCGAAGAGGTGGCGGTCAATCCCCTGCCCACTCATCGCTGCCTTCAGTAGAGCCTGGTGCTTGTCCACAGCCACCCGGAACAGGGCAAGGCACTGTTGGTCCTAGGTCCCCCGGGGCAGTAGGAGGTCAAGGGAAGACAGGACGTGGGCTTACTATGTGACCTAGATTACACTGGGCCTCAAGCCGACTTCCAAGATGCCTACAAGGCAGGGATATCTACCCTGCTTTACAGAGAGGAAGTGGGCTCAGAGACTGGAAGCGACTCATACAGGGTCACACAGCCACGTACACTGGCACGTGCCTGATTTTAGGACCTTTAAGCTCTCTAGTGAGCCATAGTATCTCACAGGTAAGGAAGCTGGCTTTGGGAACAGGTGGAGGGAGGCAAGTGGGGAGCTGTTTAGAGTAGAGGCTATAAGCAAGGTGAGGCATGGTGTAGATGAAGGTCATGGTCACATGGCTTCACAGCAAGAGAGTGGAACCAGAGTTCTCCGCAAAGTGTTCCCCAGTACCATGTGTCTCCCCCACTAAAGCGGGTCTGTTGCTATTCTCTCATGCAGGGCTTTCCGAAGCCTCTGACTGGAGCAGATTAGTCCCTTATTGTGAATGCCCCTCCCAGAGCCTGGCCACAAGTATGTGCAAATGTGAGCACAAATGACCGCGACCTCAGGAGGCCACACTCACTGTCTTCTCCTTGTCTTCCATGGCTCTCACGAAGTGACAGGCCTCTCTAGTACAAGACCTCACCGTCTCCGTCCTGCCTTCCAGGAACAGTCGGCTCATGGCTGACTCATAAGTCAGGCAGAACTGACCCCTGTCCTGGGGAAAAGGAGAAGAACCTGTCAGCTGGCCTCAGGATGTCTAAACAGCTTTGATCCACCTTTGTCCTGACCTCCAACCATCCTCCTTCTATGTATGTAGGGGAGTCAAGATGGCTGACCTACAACAAGATGGCTGACCCCAAATATGGCTGACCTACAACAAGATGGCAGACCTACAACAAGATGGCAGACCTACAACAAGATGGCAGACCTACAACAAGATGGCAGACCTACAACAAGATGGCTGACCTACAACAAGATGGCTGACCCCAAATATGGCAGACCTACAACAAGATGGCAGACCTACAACAAGATGGCTGACCTACAACAAGATGGCAGATCCTAAATATGGCTGACCCACACAGGATGAATGATCCAGAATAAGATGGCTGATTCACAATGAGATGATCAGCC